AAATAGAAATTCGTATGATGTGCTCACATCATATTCTGATACACGAAATTAAAATATACACATTGAAAAGGTAGGCAAAAAGTTAATAATCGCCAATGTTTATATTCGCCAAGTATATGTTCGTCTATGCCGATAAACAATCGACTTTTTAATGCCTTGGAAAGCACTGAAGCGCATGTTGAACGCCAAAAATCCTGGACGTGCACATTAAGAAACCATTATGATGCCCTCCCTCGAAATGGCTAATTTCCAGGGGAATATGCACATGTCTATATCTATATCTGTTTTGCCTTTTATGGATGCTCGCCTGTACTTTTTAATGATGTGTTTTGGCAACAAAGTTATGAGCTGCGACAGCGACGCATTTTATGGCTTAAGAAAAACGGAATGCAATATTGTGGGGCAACTTTATGAGTGTCTCGACATATGACTTTAATTTTATTTTTGGAAATTATATAGCAGCATTTTTACTCAATTTGGTCAAGCTTTTAGACGTACTATTAAAGATTAATTAGCTTTTGCTCTTTCGGTAAGAACAAGGAAGTTTAGTTTACAATTAAAAAAATCATTTTTGTTTAACAAATACAAAATGATCCAACTAACTGATCATTGTTCATTTTTAAAAAAATTTTTCTCCTATTAAAAAAAGTACAATATTTAAGGAAAGCTATCAAATGAAAGTACGTCAACATTTCTAATACTTAAATAAAAAACTATAACGTTGTTATGAAACCTAGTGCAACTCAATTTTGGTTATAAACTAAGTTTTTTATTTACAAAAGTTGCAGTTATCAGCTTATTCATATCAGTACAACCGTTAATGCCTTAATAATTATTAAAGCCTCGTGTAAGTTAATTACCCTAAATATTGAACAAAAGATGGTGAAATTAACAAATACGATCTGCTAATTTACATATTTCTTGGCGACCCTGAGAAGCGAAGTGCCGCAATGTAGTACCAATATTGTTATTAAAATTATTTATAGCCGGTGCCACCAGAGAGAGGGATTTAATATTTGCTCATCATAAAAGAAATGAAAACAAATTGTGTATACAACAGAGGCTGCTTTAGTGCCTGCCAGACGGGTAGCTAAAGTTGTTGCCACCATTGAAAACCGATTAGGTAAATATTTATGCAACTGCGAGCAGGTTTAGACTAAAGACTCAAGATCGTCAGGGATTGTAGGGTCCCTTTTTTTGGGGAAGATCGACGGTACTTACCTTTAGCTGTTGACGCAGTCCGCTCATTGGGCTCATTCAAAAGCTGATAACTGATAACAGAGATGCGAATGAATGAGGGGTGCCGGTGGTGTATGAGTAATATTTTGTTTGAAATCAACTTTCTGTCTTTCTCTGTGCTGGCCTAGTTTCGGCCTTATTTACCAAGCACACTTAAATGTTTAAAAAATATGTTAGCATTCTTGTCACTGTGCACAGTATAATTATTCACGAATAAAATGTGTTTACTTTGTATTTTATCCTATTTGTCTGTGTATATAAATCTTAATTTTATTATGGGATTATTAATGGTGTGTGTGTTTTTTTTTTTTGTTGCTGATTATATTTTTCTTTGTGATTTGCTTGAATTTATTTTAGCAGCGCGCGCGACTCTTTCGACGATCGTCTCGCCACGGAATCCCAAACAACATTGAGCATTTCACGACGCTCCAACGCGCTCGAAAAAGCTGCCAAAAAAAAGCAAAAAAGACGAGAGTGAAAAAGAGAGTGCGACTCTCTCTTGTCTGTTGTTTTTGAACCTAAAATTTTGAAATTTCGCCTCGTTCAGGGCTTGCCATTTTGTTAATTTTTATTTTTGTTTTTATTTATTTTCATCGATTTTGCTGCTTGTTCGCTCTTGTCAACGGCTTTAAATTTGTCTCTTGTGACGGGGCGAATTTTCCCTGTGTGTATATGTTTTTCTAAAGAAAGATCTGTGCCATCAGAAGACGAGCAAACACGTTTCCCCATCTCAAAGCCTAGAGCCAAAAACATGTTACTTTTCAAATCCATGTTATAGCTAAGATCAGCTGTACTCGAAAGAGTACACTGGGCAAACTGCAAGAGTTATATTTAGTCGGACGCACGGGACTCGAGTCATTCAACCCGGTTGCACATGAAATGACAGAAAATAAGTGCCCCATGCAATTGCAAGTGCGTTCGTGTGCCCACTCTGCGTATGCGCTATTTATACCAATCGACCAGCCGCCCCATTGGCCGCACTCAACAAATTTGGCAGACGGCAAGGGAGCATCGGAATCTTCGATAATTTTAATTAGGCAGCTGTCGCAGACCATTCAAATTGTTCAGGTGAGGCGTCCAAAAATGACACATTGCTCATACGACGTGGGGTCGCAATAAGCTAAAGCTTCATCTCTGTGCGGTTAAGACAACACTCGAATTTTTTTTATTTGCCACTGTACAGCTGCTCAAACATAAAGTTCAATTTAAGTCTTTAAATTCTGTCGAATGAATTTTGTAAGGTATGAAATGGGTCTGTTAAGTAAGTAAGTAGGTAAGCAAATTTTGTATCTTTTGTTTTAGGACAACCAATTTTAATTCAATAGTCTTCGTTATATTAACTCTCATTTCAAGCATTTTAAGTTAATTTTAGACATCATTACTAAGGTAGCTTTTGCCAATTAAAAGTGTTAGAGAGTTTTTTTTATATAAAACAATAAAAATAATAAATTATCAAATATATTTATAATAATAATTCATATTTCAAGTAGCTACAAATTACAGTTTGGCTAATGGATATTAAACTTTAAATTTACGATTGTCTGGTTAATTATACTTTTTAAAAATTGCACATCTGTTTGAGAGCTGTCAATAAACTCGTTATCGATCATTGGCATTATCAGTTAATGACTTTACCCCTAGAGGCGAAGGTACTTGCCATGCTGCAAGAGCATTCAGAGATCTGCCATCAAGATCGGATCAGTTCAGATGGCTTCTAAGCAGAGGGAACCGGAATTGGACTGTTTACGAGCTCATTATCAGTTCATAAACATGAAAGCAGCAGCAGCAGCAGCTGCAGTCAGACATAGAACTTTTATGAGTTATTTATTTATTAGCCATTATTGTTACTTTTCTCAGAGAAAATACTAATAAACCTGTGACCAAAAAGCGTGTGATCGCCGAGCGAGAGAATTATGGGGAGAAATCGGCTTCTGGGGCTCTTTATAGATTTCCAATGTAAATATTTACAATGTTTATTTATAAACCATATACATATAATATACATGTTCGTACACTGTGTATCCATGTTAGGATCGTGCCAGATAAATATTATGAAACTTTGCTGGTGCCCAATGGCGGATCCCGTGATTTACGCTGGATTTAAACGGGGTGTTAATGACTCTGGGAACGGCGTTTAGCAACTTAAGTTAGTTATCGGCTTTTGGCGAAAGGCAAACAGAAATGTCGCACTTGGCTGTGGACTTAATGACCCGGCCGTGATATCATCGATAGACAAATAAACGGTCGGCTGCCAAACGAAGCGTGAAAAGTGCCCAAGGTCGAGGGGCAAACAAAAAACAGCGAAACTCTAACTATACAATTCTAAATAAAAAACAGTGCAACGGAAGCCAAGCAGTTAGCCAAAATCTACAAATCCAGCGCACTTACGGCGAGCGGATTTTCACTGATATCCTCTTGGTCCGCAATCTTGGCCAACTCACAAATACACACGCGATCGATGGGCCCGAAAACTCTTAAAAACACGCGACCGCTTTGCTTTTTTTTTTTAGAACAACTGCTGTGGCCACCGCGCCGTCACTTTTTGTACTGGCTTCTCTGCAGCGATCTGCGCCTCTGATCAGTCACATAAATATGTGTCCACTAACGAGACGTGAACAAGCCCAAAGCGATCATTATTTGTGTACACGGAGATACATTTTTGGGTTTTAATGAGCACTACATGATTTGTTATTTAAAATTAGCTTTACATTAAAACTACAAAGAAACATTTTCTAACATCAAATATAAGAGCTGAGTGGTACCAAATTAAAAGCTACAATATTCTCCCAATTGATTCCAAAAACTATTTAAATCTTGGTTCACTATTTTTTGTTTTCAAAGTTAAGTAAAAAATTAATTAATTTCTGTGAGTACATATAGAAAATGTTTAGTTTGTAAACATCAACTTGTGGTATTGTAAAATGTTTTACATTTCAAAATATGTCACTTAATCGATTTGAGCTCATTAGGTTTTAACAGTAAAAATTAAAAATAATTGTGAAGAAATACAAAAAAAATAATGTTTACACTTGATAACTTATGGCTGATAAAAGTTAAGTAAAACTTAAAACATAATAAATGTAGTTTTAAGTTTTACCAGATAATAATACCAAAAAATATAATGGGATCCCCATAAACTTTTTTTTATGTTTATTATACAATATATTAAAATTATATATACATAAATGTTTAAACTTGAACCAAACAAGGAAGAACCCATTTTGTTATCAAAACCGAACTTCTGTTGCTACACTTATCGCTCAGTGTATGTGAAACAAATGTTGTTTCGTGGGTGTTGCCAACAGATTCAGTCGCTGTTATTGTTGTTAGTGGCGCAGTTAATGGGCATGCGTGGGAAATTCTGGGACCAACAATACCCTAGAACGTATTCTTTGTTCCACCGCACGTGGAAGTTTAATTACCCAATTATTGACCCGCAAAATCACGGCGATTTTCCGCAGAAATGCGTAGGAAAATTTCGCGAAAACGCAAGTTTTTTTATATTCTTTGCGAACCTTCTCAGTCGAATTTGATTTATTTATAATGGCGAACATTTAAAATTAAATTCGTTTAAAAATAACCGCGACCGATTCGGCAAAATAAGCGGAAAAGTCGATTTATGATGGGATTCTTTCGCAGCTATGCCAGCTATTAGGGCCAATTTGTAAATGGCAACTAATTTGGCCCACAAATATACAGCGAATAGAATTAAGGTGGGCCAGGTAAATAAATGGAATTAATCGTGATTACAAGGCCGTATGTTTTAAGGCAATTACATTGAGTTTATTGTTCGACAAGCTTAAAATTCGTATGGCCTACAAGTAGAAGAGTCAAAGTAGAAGTTGAAAATCGATTACATATATATCATTGTGCGCTTTGCTTGTTACTCTAGTCTTTTGTCTAATAACTACATATCACATATACGGATATTATCTGTACTATATTTAGTTGCTAGTAAAAACCTACCCTACTTAACAAGGAAATAACCAATTGATGGGGAAGGCATAGTTCCCAATTTAGAAAAAGGTACGTGTAAAATTGTGTCCTGTAGTGTGGAAGTTTTTTGGTTTCTAGCTGATCTCCCTTACTAATTTCTAAAGCGCTTGAAGCTTGAAAAGCATTTTGCATTTACCATTTGATGATGTTTTGCAATGTCTTATCACAAAGTGTTTTTTTGCTGACGATACAGCTCTAGACCTGCATATAGCGATAGTTGGCAGTGGAACTACTGCTGCGATACTGGCCCTCGCTCAGCTTAATGTATTGGCCCAGGAAGTTGAGTACGCTGGCACTGCGGCATATGTTGTGCAGGCAGCCCAGCAGATGAGGTGTGAGGATGGTGGTCACTATATAGGCCACTTGGGGCATCCTCTCCGTGTGTCCCAGTGGGCAGAGCCAGTAGCCCCGCCGCACGGCATCCCTTGTGTGATGGGTGATGAAGGCACAGAGCAGGGAGCCCAGCATCAGGCTGGTCCTGAAGTAGTTCAAACAGGCGGTGCAGATGTAGAACATCAGCATGACCACTATAATACTGGAGCAGTGGAGGAAGGGCCGCTTGGAGAGATTGGTGGCATCCTGGGTAATCGCAATGGCTTAATTATTGTATGTTTTTGTGATATCCCAAACTCACCTCCAGATACAAGGAACGCGCCTCCACAAAGTGATCCAAGTCAATCAGTGATGACACAACGAAGCAGGTGAAAATCAATATCCAGCCGAGGAGCTGGGAAGTTCGCTCGTAGAACTGCATGGCGAAGGCGATTCCCGTGAGGGCTCCAATGGCCGCATGGGTGGCATTGTCCGCCAAGGCCTTCAGCAACGGATGCTGGGTCAGTTCCACAAAGTTGTCGCCCAGCAGACACGTAATGGTCACCAAGGTTGTCAGCACAATTCGCATATAGACCATATTGTGGCAGTGGGGCATCGATTTCTGGCTGCTCGTGCTCGTGCTCTACTTTTGCTGTGATTTTCGTTGTTTGGACGGAGTTACTTGGAGTTCGCCGGGGTTCACTTCACTTTCTCCTCCTGCAGTTGCTCATCCACGTAATCTTCGCTGCGGTGGTGGCCACGTACTGCTGGCATTTTGTTTACCCCGGAAGTTGTTGTGAAATCCCGGCGATTTACAAGGATAATTATCTTGTAATAGTTTTTGGTGTGACCGTAGTGGGGGTCAGGGAAAAATACCATTTGGCTCAATATAATATACTGAAATATATTGAATGCTTCAAGTTTAGTGTAAACCGTTACAAAATACCACAGTGACCACTCAATACAGATAACAATAAAAATAGAAGGTTTTTCTCTGTAAATTATTATAATAAAATATAATTCAGGGACCATTGGCTACAAATAACAAACTGAATTCAGGATGTCCTCTGAAACTTCTTAAAGTAAAAAATTGGTTTGTTAAATTGTTTATAAAACAAACAATAACCTTACTATATTTAGGTTTCCAAATTTAATGTATTAAGCTTAAGCATCTGTTAACGATAAAAGCACATTATTCGAAAATCATTTCTGTTGATTCATTTAAATCGATCTTCAATTCGTCTCTTAAAATTTTTTTTTTTTTTTAATTCTATGCGTGTATTCTTCATTTCCATGAACATCTACAGGGAAAATAATCAAAAGGTTGTTGCTTAAATATAAATTATAGCTTTATTCAAAATTTTAAAAGCAAGCACTGTAAACGTTGAAGGGATAGTACTTGCTCTTGATGGCCTGGCGAGCATGAGCCACACGTTCGCCAGTGTGATAAGAATTTAAGATGGCATGATCCTCAGCATCCAATTGAAAATCAAAGACATTAAAGTTTTCCTCGATGCGCTTGGGATTGGAGGACTTGGGCAGGGGAATTGTTCCCATCTCAATCTGTAAACCAAACTTGTTTGTGATCAATCATATTGTTTTTACCACTTGTTCCAAATCCTTACCAAATATCGGATCAGCACTTGGGCAATCGTCTTGTTGTATTTGTTGCCGATGGCCTGCACCTTGCCGTCGTACATAAAGGTGGGCGTCCTCAGCTCCGCATTGTGTCTACCCAGTGGACATGAAGCGGTTACCACAATGTCATTTGATTTGCACAGAGCAATCAATTCCTTCTGGTCCAACGCTGGGTGGACTTCGATCTTAAAGAAGGCCAAAGGTTTACTTCAAACTAGAGGACTAACCTTCAACTAACGCACCTGGTTGTGGATTGGCTTGATCTTGCAGTTGGCCAACAGGCGAGTCAACTGCTCCGAGTTAAAATTGGAAACGCCAATGCTTTTGGTGAGGCCCAGTTCCACCAGCTTCTCCATGGCACGCCAGGTGTCCACGTAATCAATGTCACTGTAGGATTATTAATGATGAAATGTTATTTTAAATTGAGGGTAAAATTATTGTTTATGTGACTTTTAGCTCTCCCGTCCAATAATTCTAAATAAAATATAAGTGGAGAGCAGAAATCTAGAGCCTAAGAATTTGCGTTTAATAAGTTGTTTATATTAATGGGTAAAAGATTGTAGTTGGGATTTGTTGTTTACCACTTATTGTAAATCAAAGATAACTGAAGAGGCAACGTCAGCCGATTGAGTCGTATGTCATAATAAGTTGAAAGTTTTAAATAAAAGTCATCAGATAGTTATTGATGACTACTCACACGAGTTCCACCTCTCCATTGGCATCTTTGGGGATCATTTCGTTGTCGCCATGGTAGGCGTATGAGAAGGGCCAGTGAATCAGGTAGAGGTCCACATACTCCAGACCAAGGTTTTGCAAGGTCTTGCGGCAGGCGTGCTCCACCCTCTCCGGCTCATGAAAGTGGCACCAAAGCTGAGGAAACAAACGCTACCATTTAAGGATATTGTGCATTTCAACCCGAACTAGTCAACTGACCTTGGTGGTGATGAATATGTCCTCCCGCTTGATAACACCCTCGGCAATCTTCTTTTGCACCGCCGCACCCACTTCACCCTCGTTGCCGTAGAAGTAGGCGGTGTCTATGTGCCGGTAGCCCACATCAATCGCATGGAGAACGGCCCGTTCGCAATCGCCTTTCAGCGACTGAAATTTACAAGTGATCAATAACGTTAGACGTTCAATGGGGCCTATTGATAAGGGACATTCCCAATCAATATCGGAGACGTGATCTCCCGCTTACCGCACTCTAAAATAGTAAGCTATGATTTCATATTCAGAGGTCAACAAACACTTATCATTTTTAACATTGAATAGTGCAAAATTGATATTTATTAATGGTAATTTTCAGCTTTTTCTTTTTAATGGAACAAATCAAAGTGATATGTTAAGTATAAATTCCAAATTGACAACAAGTTGATAGTTACATTTTTATTCCCAATCAATATCGGAGACGAAATCTTCCACTTACCGCAAAAGTGCCCAATCCAATGGGCTGAATCTTGGTGCCGTCGTTGTGTTTGAAGTACTCTGTTTTGCTGGCCATCTTTACTGTTACACAGTTGCTCGCTGAATGTCTGTGTTCCTCGCTGCAGCTCATTTATAAAGTTGCGGGAAAAGGTTTGGAGAACCTTTAAAAGACCTTTCAGAATTGCAGATAACATATAACTAAGCTGTCGAGGAACTTTAGTTTAATCACAAAAGAGAATAAAAAAGTTTATTGAACTCGTGCAAAATAATTTTAGTTTGTAAAAGTTAAATTAAAAAATAAAATATTTTATTTTGTAATCTAGCCATCTAATTGTGCAATGCTGTTCTTAAATAGAGATCGCATTTACTACCTATAATAGCTAGGATTTTTTTAAACAAACAAATTCCACTAAGTAACTAATTTTTATGAGCAACATTTTCCAAATGTTAAGTTTTGTTCTTGAACAACCAATTTTTGACTGTGGAAATACCCATATTTAAAAGTGTGTAATCAAATTCAAATAAAATTGATCGAAAGTTTGATAGTGTAGTGGCGCCAAAAGCTTTTTTACTTAACTACATTGTATATATGATTACTATTATGAGGGTTTGTTAAAACATTGCATTGCTTTACATTTTTGCATTCTGCTTTCCAATTTCCGGTTATTGAATATTTAAATCTGCCGGTAGACTTGAATTAGTATATGTGGTCTTGATTAAATGGAATTTTCCATGCGGATTCTCGTCTAAAAACTAGTTGCGAAAGCTCTCTCTTTTTGTCATTATCTCTCTGTTTCTATCTTTATCACTCTCAATTTACTAAAATATCAGCAGGGGTGTACAAAAGAAAAACAATTTAAAAATATTAATGTTTAAAAATTAAATGACACAATTTAATAAAGGGTTTGTGAGTACTTTGTTTTTTTTTTTAAAGACTTTACGTCTTACCCATTTGTAAAAAAATATTATAGCTTTAAACCTAAATCAACAATTCTCTTGAAGAATGATTAGCCATGCTTTTGAACTTTAAAAGTAAATAAATAAAGTGATAAGACACAAATAGGCGGTTGTAGGTAACAAGAACTAACAATGTACATAGAAAGCTATAAAACAAGAGATCATAAACCGTTTCTTAAAGAAATGTAGATATGCGTAGATCTCTACTTCACACATTTCTCGAAACATTTATTTCCTCTAAGATATTTACAAATTAATAGGCATCAAACCACTCTTTAATAAAAGATTTTAATCTTATTGTTATGATTGTTTTTCAAAATATCGTGTTCTCAGCATATAAGTTTTTTAAAATATCAAAACTAACGGCCACTGAAATTTGTTGATCCTTTTTTCAGCTCAAAACTCGATGTGAAAGGGATAGTTCTTGCTCTTGATGGCGTGGGTCATAGGGATCAGACGTTCGCCGGTGTGATACGAATCTAAGACAGCATGATCCTCTGCATCCAGTTTGAAATCGAAGATCTTGAAGTTCTCCTCGATGCGTTTGGGATTGGATGACTTGGGCAGGGGAATGGTTCCAATCTCAATCTGTTTGTATATATAATATCAATATCAGGAATTTTGTTAAAGGTAAATATTAAGTTTAAGTACTAACCAGGTATCGGAGTACCACTTGGGCGGTGGACTTCTTGTACTTGTCTCCAATAGCCTGCACCTTGGCATCGTAGATATAGTTGGGTGTCTTTTCCGCGGGATTGGGTCTGCCGAGCGGACAATAGGCGGTCACCACAATGTCATTCTTCTTGCACAGGGCGATCAGTTTTTTCTGATTCAAAGCGGGATGACATTCGATCTGTAAAATAACCCATTAGTAATTTAAAACTTAGGGACCAACCGCAATTGACGCACCTGATTGTGGATTGGCTTGATCTTGCAGTTGGCCAACAGGCGAGTCAACTGCTCCGAGTTGAAATTGGACACGCCAATGCTTTTGGTGAGGCCCAGTTCCACCAGCTTTTCCATGGCGCGCCAGGTGTCCAGGTAATCAATGTCGCTGAAAGTGGGAAAAATATAATTTTTCCAATTGATAAGATTTTAACAACTCACTTGAGCTCCACCTCTCCCTTGGCATCGGTGGGCATCATTTCCGTGTCGCCCCTGTAGACATAGGAGTAGGGCCAGTGCATCAGATAGAGGTCCACGTACTCCAGTCCAAAGTTTTGCAGGGTCTTGCGGCAGGCGTACTCCACCCTTTCCGGCTCATGGAAGTGGCACCAAAGCTGAGGAAATATATATACCCATTTATGGATTTATGACATTGCCATTGCCATTTCCATTCCAAGCCCAGCTAGCCAACTGACCTTGGTGGTGATGTAGATGTCCTCCCGCTTGATGACGCCCTCAGCGATTTTCTTCTGAACCGCTGCACCCACTTCGTTTTCATTCTCGTAGAAGTAGGCGGTGTCGATGTGCCGGTAGCCCACATCAATCGCATGGAGCGTGGCCCGCTCGCAATCGCCACCCAGCGACTAAAAAGGGCAAATCATTTTATTGATATATTGCCCCGATCGATATCGCAGACGTGATCTGTAAGATTTGGACCTACCGTATAGGTGCCCAATCCAATGCTCTGGATTTGGGTGCCATTGTTGTGCTTTACGTACGGAATTTTGCCGGTCATCTTCGCAGTTCCACAGTTGCTCGCTGACTGACTGAACCGAGATTCTCGTTGAGGTTCTCTCACAAAGTTATGGAAAAAGCTCCTCAAAGTTTCAAAAGCCAAGTAAAAATGGCGGTAAAATATTATCAGGCTGAAGAGAAACTTTTTTAGGCTTTTCTAAAAGGTTTAATTTTAAATATAATCCGGTAAGTAACCAGATGGACCGTAATCAATAGAATTAATCAATTTTGTTTTCGGTGTTTTGATTGCAATCAATCTGAATGTCTAACAAATTGTTTTTAAAGATGATTTATATATTTATTTTTATTTAAATATGCAAGTATATCAAACAAAACAAGAGAGCTTTAAGATCAATTTTAATTTAGAATTGCTTCTGCTTTATTATTAATATATCCAAAAATATTATTTAATATATATGTTTTTTTATACATTTTTTTAGAAACAACCTGCAAATCCGAACGAGGAGCTAATTCGTCGGGGAGTTTAAAATCTCCATCATCTCATTTGTACTATAAAAAAATAAAAACAAATAAAAACGTATTTAGAAGAATTCGTTGTATTGACTTGACAGTGTACCCTGAATTATGTTAAATGTGTTCAATATTATCTCTAGCATACTCTTGGGCTGAAATATTTAATTAAATATTCAATATATTCTGTAGCATACTTTGGGGATGCCGGTCATCGCGCTTTTGTTGCATACTTTTGGGAGGCTGCTGTATAGTTTGAGAAGCACTGGTCATTATGGTTGTTGTTGTCTTGTTGTTGTAATTTGTTGTTGTTGCTGTTGTAATTTGTTGTTGTTGCTGTTGTAATTTGTTGTTGTTGCTGTTGTAATTTGTTGTTGTTGTAATTTGTTGTTGTTGTAATTTGTTGTTGTTGTAATTTGTTGTTGTAATTTGATTGTTGTTGTAATCAGCAGCCCAAAAGTATGCTATGCGGGTATGGTAACGCCAGCGCGAAAGTATGCTACAAATCATTTAATTTTTGTCACAATTAGCTGCCCAAAAGTATACTATCGAGCTGCAGCCCGAAAGTATGCTACAAATAATTTTATATAGCAGCTAAGAATAAAAACATGAGTTGCCTACTTATGCCGTCTAGTTTCACCCCAAAACATAGAAATCAAATAATACGCAACACAAACCCAATAGATCCTTTTAATATCAATAATTTACAAAATTCAATTAGTCTAGGCCGCAGAACTCTTTTTTTTCAACACAGAGCAATCAAGCGTAGTTATCGAAGGAATTGATCTCGCTGACAGTTTAGGCTACAAAAGAAAGAAAGAAAATGAATGAAAATATTGCTTATTACTTACTGTTAATACAATGATTATTCATTCTCGACCTCGATTCTAGACAAATGACATTCGATTTATTTTTCGATGATTCGGTTACTATTAAAGCGCATTATTTTTTACTATTTCAGGTAATCACACCACACCTAAAGGACTAGAAAAAGCTTCGCCTGGAGCTACTTTTCTGCAGCGCATGTGCGGAGCTTTTGGGAGGACGGAACATTTTGGAAGCGGCACAACATCTGTTATTCAAAGAGGCACAATGTAGCAGACCTTGCCACCGTCGCACAAGTGAAGGAATTTTCGTAGCGCCTGGTGAGTTCCCACCCGTGGAATGTGTTAGTGCTTCAAACCGAAAAAAACACCCAAACTAATGTCTGGGCATTAAAAAGTGCTACCTAACATATTAGTAAAGATGAAATATGCAAGAAAAAGCCAAGTAGTTGACAAGTTCGAAACCTCTACCCATAAAGGACCAAAGTGAAAGTGCGCTGGAATCTATAAATACTCCTTGGGTAACTAGACCAAGTCACGACAGAGCAACCAACTATTACCCACCTCCTTTGGCCAAGTGCATGTCGTGCTGCTGCTCATTGGTTTCGCCTTGGTCTGGTCTAGTTTTTGGCCTCAGCATGGAGGTGTAGGAGGTGACTGCAAGCAAGCCTTGGTTAGCTGAAAATTAATGTATTGTAATTTCAGTATACGCAGCACGCCGACCACTGCGCATGCCACAAGCCCGGACCCGAACTCGCACCCCCCGCCAATCGAGGCCAGCAGAAAAGCTGGGGCACAAAAAAAAGTAGGAGGAACAGCAGGTGACACCTGCAGCACCACCTGCCCAAATAAGGAACCGAAGGAACTAGAAGTCTAGAGACAAAACTAGCTATCCAAGGAACACAAAGATCGCAAGGAATTCAAGCAATCCTAGAAAGCCCTGAAATCGAGGAAAGCCAAACCATTCAGAACCCATCATATTTCCAGGACCTAAATACGAGAAATTCTTTAAACACATAAGAAACTAAAGGGTTTCAAGGAAACCAAGAAGTTTAACAACATTTTCAAGGTACCTAAGGAGGCCAAAGTGTCCCACAAATTTGAGGAGTTGAAAAAACCCATGGAACGTGATAATTGCAAAGAATTTGAGAAACTAGGAAACTGACATAACGCATAGGCAAGAAAGGAAATTCAAGAATTGCAAGGAATCAAGAATTTAGGAAATCCAGAAATCAGTAACAGAAATGGCGGCAGTAGTCCATGGTTGCAGCAGTCCTCGGCAGCGATCCTGCAACGGCAGTAGTTCCCCGGGAGGTCACCATGGGTCCTCCTCCGCCTATCACAATGTTCCCAAATACTCGAGGGCCACCAGTCAAACGCTGTATGCCACCACTCAGCAGTTTTTCGCCGGCAACATGCCGGACCCGAGCTACGGCTATGGAATGTCCTCCTCCGGCGGTCAGCGACCACTTTCCGCTTCCGCTCTGCCGGAAACTGCGGCGGCCAGCCGGAACTATTGGGGTCACCACAACGCATTCTATCACACGGGCGGCAGGCATTACAGTAAGCGGAAATCGGCCGTGGAATTGCTAGCGGAATCGAAGCCTTTCTATATCAAATCGGAGGCGGTATTCGAGCGACTGCAGCAGGCTAGCTATCGCAACGGTGGTGGTAACAATGGAGTAACCAGCGGTAAAAGAGGTCGCCGGCCGGAGGAAACGCACTCTGGTAAAACAAAAACATAGCAAATCCAAGTATTTCATTATCAATTTAAATGGCCATCGCTTGCAATATTACTTATTCTTTTTTAATATTTAATTGTCCTATTTTTGTAAAAGATTTTTATATCTGAAAATTTAATTTAAATTTAAACTCTATTTTTATATATGATAATTTAATTTAAATTGAAACCATATAAGCTTTTAAACTCTAATATAATATAAGATATTTTAAACAAATTGTACATATTTTATAATCAAATTAAGTAATTTAATATGTATTGTATTTGGGCTTATGATTTTATATTTAATTTAATATGAATTTTTACTACTCCAGTTCGTGTCAATGCATGTTGCTTATATATTTAATTTAAATATAAAATACACAATTTTGACTTCAGATATTAATTTTTGCTACCTCATTTTTTACCAGTGCATGGTCACCATGGCTACGAACTGGAGGACAGGCGGTACATGAGTCTAAATCACAGCCGCCAGCAGCAGGTGCAACAGCAACAGCAGCAACAGCAACAGCAGTATCTGCACAATCACCATCCCCACCCACACCCACACCAGCACCCGCACTCCCGCCACGCCCAAGGCCAAGGTCAAGGTCGCTCAGGAGGAGGAGGCGGCGGCGGCGGAGCAGCCGTTAATAACAACCTACTGCAGCACAAGTTGCGCATGCTACTCGGCTCGGAGGCTGGAAAGGAGCGAAATGGCGGAACCTTGAGGCGCCACGAGCTGAACGACGGGTCCAGTGCGGAGCTCCTGCCCACGGACTACGGCGAGGAGGAGGTCGGAGGTCAGGCGGGCGCCCTGCGCATTCCCCCGCCCCTCTACATGCCCACCCACAGTTTCGGGCGGGACGGCGAGGAGCCGCTCGTGCTCACTGAAAACTATCGGCCCATCAGCCCGCCCGCCGAATATGCAGCCAAATCGGGACAGGCTCACAACGATCGCTACAGGTGAATTAGTTAAGCAAAAAAAAAAATTTAATCAAGAGCCAATTCGAGCAATATATAATTAACTTTTAAATCAACTTTTAGTACCCACCTAAAACAGAAATTCATACCTCAATGATTTTGAATTGCAATGCAGTCCATTCGATTACCATTCAAACTTGAGCTTTTTCACACAAATTTATGATATAATCTTTTATGGAAAACCCGAAATTGTCTAAAAATGTTGTTTGAAATTAATGGCCATATAGAGCTATACAGCTTTTCCATAGTTTTCTAAAGATACTTTCATAAGGCAATAAATATTAATAAGTGAAGACTTGTTAAATGATTTACCCCTTTTGAAATATGTTAAAGCGCTTCAAACTTTTACACAATCTAATACATTTGAGTAAAGATAAAATCCTAGAAGTGCTGGTTGTACATCACTTTTTTGCAAGGAAATTAGTAGAAAAAATCGATAGGGGTTACATTCGTAATTTTCATGAAAATCAATCCAAAATCACAGACTAACATTTCAACGCAGATTCTCTAAAAAAAATCCACTAGCCTATGTCTTTACAAAATCGGATATATCTGTAAGTAAAGTTATGGTATTAGAGGCCATTGTAGAAAGAAATTACTCTTTTTGAGTTAAAGAGTAAAGAGTTAGATAAATAAATGTAATATAAAATCAGGGGTACTAATAAATGAATATTTTTGCAGATACAACTACCAGCGTTCGTACTCACACTCTCATGAGGTGCCCAATTCGGGTGAGGACCGCAGTGCTCCGTACCCCTCCGGCGACTACAACATCAATAGCCACAAGTCGCTGCCGGACTTGCACACGCAGATCAGTCGCCATTCGCCGCACAGCGAGATCCTGAGCTGCTGCAGCCGTGGCAACCGGTCGATAAAGTCCGCCGGCGAGTCGTCGATCAATCGGGATTCGGGCGGCAGCTCCGGCCACTACACCCATCGCAGCGAACCCTGCTATAAGCGGGAGCGACAACGGGATGTGGCCGCCCCGGCGAGCGGTACAATCAAGAATTGCTGCACTTTGGTGGCCACGACGCGCCGAGATAGTGGCTCCTCCACCCAGCACAGTGCCAACTCCTACTGTGGCTATGTCACCCCGGCAGGGGATTATTCTGGGATGAGTGGACGCAACACGGAGTGCTTGGATTGCCGCTGCAAACAGGACACTTCCGCGATGGGCTCGGATTATCTGCTGAATTTCACGCCCACGCCGGAGGTTCCGGAGGCCTTTCAGGACGACTACACCCCCACGCCTCCTTCGCCCAGGCTGAAGACCCAGACGCCACGATACTCGAGCTCCTCCAGTCAGCAGCTGCACACCAGCTCCCAGGGCTACACGAGCATCAATCACTCGCAGAGCTCGCTGGTCCAGAGCCCCGGTTCGGCGCCATCCGTGGACGACATCAGTCCGCCGCCCATTCAGTTCAAAAGGCAGCGCTGCATTCGCTTCAAGAACCGCAATCGACTGCCGGTTCAAGGAGGTAATTTGCTCTACAGTTGTACTTGGTTTTACTGCGATCTCTCAAGAGTCTGAAATCATAAAAAGTTATAAAACGGTTAAAATGTGTCTTAAGATAGCCTACTTATAACACTAAATTTTTGGCTTTAATTATTTGGCTATTATTAAAAATAATTATTTCCGAATGTTTTGGTTTTTAAAGTGCACAGAAACATATAAGTTTCAAACTTAACCATAGGCTTTTGTACATCTCACTAATTGTTAATAATACCGCGACATTATTTTACTTTATTTATTTATTTCATACAAATCTTTTGAAATTTCAGAAAGAAAGGCCAACAAAAATATATACTCAGTAAAATACCAAGAATTTTATAATCATTTTGAATCTAATTCGCATTTATTTTTATCTATTGAAGTGTTTAGTTATTTTAAATATGGAAATATTTAAGTTTTCTTTTTAATATTTAATTTGACTATTTTCGAATCAGCTTTTATTATCTGAAACATATTAGACTATTGTGCATTTAAAACAAATAGAATATTTAATATTTTCCTAATTAACAATTTAATGTGTAAATCATTTTAATTTGTACAAATTTATTTTCCCTATGCAGAAATGGTAGGACCACCAGGATCGGGTGGCCTGGTGGCCGCAGGATCTGGAGTATCTGGAGGAATGGCCACGGCCGGCGGTGTCGGAGTGCTGGCCGCCTACAAGCAGCATCGCGGCAGTGTGGACCACGAGAACGTGTTCTTCCCCAAAGGTTTCTCCTCGGAGGTCTACCACAACAGCTTGGACATGGAGAGGGAGGCCCTGAACGCCAGCATTTCGGAGCTGGAGAAGTTCTTCGATCGCCTGGGCCTGAATGACGAGGCCTTCCATGAGATCTACAGTCAACCAAGGAGACAGCACCACTCCGAAACGGACGATGCCTCTGATGACTCCAGCACGGTCTTCTTCTCGGACGTGAGCACCGTGGACTCGATGAGATTGCCAGATAGCACGGAAACGCAGCCGCAGGCCACGCAGGCATACCGACCCTCGGAGCCGCCGTCGATTGTGGAACGCAATGCCAGGATCATCAAGTGGCTGTGCAACTGCAAGAAGATGCAGTGCACCTGAGGATCGCCGGGGCAGTGCAGCTGCGGATTCGGATTTGGATTTGGATTCGGACGCTAGCGCTTCACTGGCTTAATAACTCCACTCGACCACCCCGATTTCTAAACGACTGCGATGCAACAAAACACTGATCACTAATAGATGGGTGTGGTGATTTTGAAGGTTGTAAAACTGACACAAGGACGAAAAGTATTCTAGGGGAATCAAATTTAAGCTTTTCAAAGTCAAAGGGTATTTTTAAAAAAGTAAATGGCTTTTTTTAAATACTCCTTGACTTTGGAAAGCTCAAATTTGGCTAACCAAATAAACTAATTACATATCTTAAAAAAAAGTAATTTCTTAACCACTTTTGCTCTGAAAATAACTTAAAGAATATTCAAAGCTCAACATTACAAGTACTTAAATTTAAAATAACAAAAGCAACATTAATGCTTATATACGGTTAATAAATATTTTCTGCTTCACTAAGAAGTAAAACAAACCATTTTATAGTCAGAGTTTATTTAAATACCTACAGAAAAGCTACAATAATGTATTTGCATAAAAAGGATAAGGGCTTTAAAATTGATTTTGAAATACTGCACATATAAAATAAAGGTTACAAATTAAACGTATACTTTTTTAAATACGAAAACGAATATAATAAAATGTGAAGGCTTAAGAATTATCCAATATGATTTAAGACAACCGATACAAATAATTAAAAGATCTTAAAACTAAAAAAAGTTCATATTTAAAGCACGAAAATGAATTTAATTTGAAAACACCAAAGAAAATTATTAATAATGTTTTTTTCTCACTACTTTTGCAAAAACAGCTTACAAAATGTACTCAGAGATAACTTTTCGTCCTTGTGTTTGGTTTTCTCCAACAAAATTACCCATCTGTCCACGAAAATCCACAAAAACACTGCTCAAGAAGTACAATTAAGTCAGTTGAATGTTTCGAACATGATTAGCATGGTTAGCCTCACCTACCTGTACAATGGAACTAGGAATTACGAGAGCAGGAGTCTCGATTTCTCGATTTCCCGATTTCTCGATTATGGATGTGCGTTTTTCCTCCTTTGATGCGCTTGTTCTCGCGCAGATCAATTACACCATTGATATTTGTATTGCCAACGGTAATGATATTGATATTGTCTTACGTATACTAATCAACTAGCAAGCGATCGTTCATATTACTCTTATACACAGCGGTATTATTAGATGAATTATTGTACAATTAGTTCTTATAACTTATATATATATACATATACATAAACGACTAGTTGCCAAAGAAAAAACAAAAAAAGTACACGAAACCACTAAAATCACAAATTGAAATTGAAATGAACCTACCTATTTATGTAATTGTACATGGTTTGCATGGCGAATAAATAAAATATTTATGATTATCAAATTAATTGAAATATACATAGAAAATCAATGGGAATAAATTGTTTTATTATTCTATTAAACAATTCAGGGAAAAAGGGTAAATGTCGGAATGTCAACTGGAAATTTCCAGTTGAAAAAGTACCAAAATAAGTTAGTTTTTAGTAAGAACTTTGGTTTTAAATTTGGCGGCATTTGAAACGGGAAACAGGGTGGCCAGATCGTATTAAGTTTGTGCGAACCGATTCGGCGCAGGCGCAATTTTCAAAAAGTAAATTTACCTATAACAAATAATTCGTCAACTTTAAAAAGTAATGAACACCATCTTTATTTCTTTTCTAACTAAATTTGAAATTCCACGTCTTTTTCTTGAACATGCAATACTTAAACTAAATAAAAGTTTCTATGATTACAATTCTACCGCATCTTTAACGTTGTTTAGTTACAAATATTTGTACCGTTTAGTCAAGGTGTTTCGCTATTAATAATAGAAAGGTATCATTTATTATCCGATAAAACTAAAACACTACAAGTGCATAGTCAAGTAGTAACTGGATTTGTAATGGTGTTACAGAGCAATTTAACTGCCATTTAATAAGTTTATTTGGGTTTGAAAAACCAGCGCTAGTCAAATATGACCTAGTTATTAAAAAATTCATTTAAGATTCATTAAATAAGTAAAACATAAATTTTTTGAAATTCTTATTTTCATAGTACAAGATTGCACCTTATTTTTATTGTTTATTCAACCTTTATTTTATATGAAAAATGGGAATGGCGTGGCCTGACCCACATAAAAAACACCTGTGGGACTTTCTCGTATAAATAAGGGGTTTTTCAGGCATTGAGTCGAAATCAGTGGATGACTTTCATCTGATTAAGACTAAAATGAGAAAACAACTCTTATCCCTGGCTGTGCTGGGATTACTATCCCTGGCTGTGGGTCATGATGTAAGTCAATATTTTTAAAAACTTAAAATTTGGTTATCCTTGCTAATAACAGCCTTGCAGTTACAGCCTCCCACTGCCATAAAGAAGGTGCCAGTGCCTGTTCCTGTACCAGTTCCGGTTTATCACAAAGATGGAGGTTCTGGAGGTGGAGGTGGTGGTGGGGGTGGGGGTGGCGGAGGAGGAGGAGAAGGCGGCGGAAGTGGTGGTGGTGGAGGCGGCGGTGGCGGCGGAGGAGGATCGGGAAGGGGCACTTGCCCGCGACCTTCTCCCCAAGCTTTGCGGGTAAGTAGAGCTTAAATAAATCCCACCCTGAGCTTTAAAACCAAACTCCGATCTCGTCTGCAGTGCCTCCAGGAATGGGCCTGCCAGTACATCATCCGCCTGGATCTGCGGTAAGTGCCGGCTTCCGGTTCGGCTTGGTCCGCTATCTAGCTCATATATATTTGCTCTTTTCCACGCAATTGCTGTGACAGCTGCCTGCTCGCTTTAAATGGCAACCCATTGCTTGGCAATCTCATTTCCATACCGGGCATCACCGGCGGCGGAAGCAGCAGCGGTGGCGGTGGCATCTTGGGCGGTCTGCTGGGTGGCAAATAGAGTCGCTACCTTGCGAAAATGTGCTCACATTAAGCCCAATAAAGATGGTGACACTGGCAAAAATGCAGACTTTTTTATCTATTATTAAAAAGGTTTAAAGGTTAAAAAAGAAACGTGAGCCCACAGAATACATATGTCTACATTTTCTAGTAACGCTAGTCTTGGGTAAAAAAAAATATAGATGATTCCTTTGAATATTAGCTTAAAACGCTACAAATATAACATCTAAAAATATATGGTAGCTCTAAAATTTTATACATGATCCAGTTTTAATCTATCTATGTAATAAAACTCACCATTTGGTTTTTAAATGTTCTGTAACAATTTTAAATAAAAATACATAATTTATGGTAGTTTAAAAGGGAAAATGTGTCAAGCCGTAGATCCGGCGCATATGGGAATGACGTGCTCCGCGCAAACAAATGGGGCACTGTTTTGATTTCCGGAGGGCAGTTCGGATGCAGTTCCTGCCAAAAAGGTGGCCACATCGCAGTGACACCAGACAATGACTGCCACCCACTTCACAGGACTCTTGGCAGATGGGGCAGTCGTTAACCTCGTACATCCTGTCCAGTTCCTGGTTGATTTGGCGTACTTGCCCGCAAAGATCGGCCAGTGCCATGGAATCCAGCTCAGCCTGCTGGATCTCTTCACGCCTTATGGCCACAAAGTTGTCAGTTTCTTCCTGCAAATTCAGCAGAATGGAAGAACGCTGGCTACTGAAATGCTGCGCTCTGTTTAGTTCTAGTTCGATTAATCGCTTTGTCTCATTGGCGCTGCTGGGCTCCTCCAGATGCACTTGCTCGCGACTATTCTCCAGTTTCTGCAACTCTTTTAATAGTTCATTCATTTTGTTCATTTTTGATATTCGCTGCGTCAGATAATCAGTTTGGAGTGACATTTAGTAAACAGTGAACTTTGAACATTTTTTGCTAAAATTTTTTTTTAGATTATCAAGCTATGTTACAAATTAAGAATAAATTAATATTCTTTAATCCAAAACTATGCTTACAGAAATTGGAAAAATATTGTGATCTTCTAACCAAAAAATTTTGATTTTAACAAATGTTATAAAATATCCTATAAATACTTAAACATTTAGAAATCTGTAAATCCCAAGAGAAAATTAAATAGTGAAATTACCATTACCATTATATGGGCTACGTAACTTAAAATAACTTAAATGGCTTTTGAAATACGTTTTGTTCGATATTTTTATTTCTAAGTATTAACAATAGTATCAACCAATAAGGAAACTAGAAATTTAAGTTGTACTTGATCCAACATTCACTTTAAAGAAATGTATCATAAATTCATTTATTTAGAGGTACATGACCCAACAAAATATAAAGATAGTACAACTTTTAAGTATTATTTAAAGCCTTGGCCTATCTGCAATCCAGCATATTTTCAGGTGAAAACCTTTTCCACAGTGCACAAGTGTCGTTGGGTTGGACGAAATCGAAATTAGGGGCGTGGCATGGGGTACTCGGATCGGAATTGCTGCTCCTGTTAATGGGCAGCCAATAATCCTTAGTATTGGCATTGGTGTAAAAATGGCGATTATCGCTGGCATAACCGTTAACTTGATTATTGTTTAAGTGCCACGCAATTAAGCCGAGCAATTCTCAAATTAGCCCGGATGGTCTTCATTCTCATTCTTATTTTCATTCTGCTAACGCTATTTGCAAATGCAATTGAACTTTCGGCCTTTAACTCGGTGCGAAGAAGAGGTGGCTTTAAAGTATTGGCAGCTTGCGAGAAGCTTGTGCTTGTGCTCGAATAAAGTCGCAAATCATTGAAGCATATGCAATTATTCATTTTGAGGTTGAATGCGCTCGAACGCACACAATGATACAAGAACACGGACCTGGCAGCCTCTGTGTGCAAATATACGTATACGTAATATACGTATATACGAGTGCCAATGCGAATACGAAACGCAAGGAAATTTAAATTCAGGAGCTGTTTCTTAAACGAGGATGCTCCATAAAATTCGCTTTTACTACGCATAGTTTTCGTCGCTTTTTTGTGGCATTTGGCATTTCTTTTGGGGTTTTTCTCGTTTGCTTTCTTTTCTTTTCTTAGCCTTTTATTTTTTTTTTCGAGGTTTTTCTACACTTAAACTCGTATTTTTGCCTTCCTTTTAATGCCCTCTTGATTGCAGCCCGATTCCGTCTGCAGATAAAATCACCCACACTCCGCGAAAGGACACTCCATCTTGGTTAATCCATCACTTGCATCCTACAGCTCAATAGTCTGTAGTCTGGGACCTTCCACTTTCCTTTGCCCTTTTATAATTAACTTTATGTGTATGTATTTAGTTTTATTGCTCGTTAGACAGCCGGGCCGAAGGAGAGACAATGAAACAACAATTTGTGATCGCCCCAATCACCAAGGATTCCCATTCCCATTCCCCCAAAAAAAAGGCGAACCGCAACGTGTGTAGGCCATTTTGGAGTTTTACTCGGCACAGGCCGTTGCCATTATATTAATTACAAACGTTTGCGCCACAGCTTCCTGCATTTTCTCGGCTGCCGTCCGCCACTCCCTAATGGGCACAACAAGTAAATCACACACAAAGCTCTAAGGCGATTTCAGGCGACGGACGAGACGAGCGAAACCCAAAAGGACCGAATAATTTCCATTGAATGTGTGAAACTTGCGCAGCTCTTAACGAGCTTGGGTCCCCAGAAATTCATTTAAACGCGCCAGACAGACAGGACACACGAGTCCCGACTGGTGACGAACTTTGGCATGGGAATGAGAATGGGAATTGGTATGGCAATGGGAATGGGATCGTTTAAAGCGACTTAACTTGGCTGGTAATTTTGTAAATTATACAAATAATTAAGTTGCAAAAGACTTTTAAGTTTACTTAATGACGGGGTCAGAACCTTCTGCGTTTAGTTTTGTAATTGAATAAACAAAATGAATCAATTTGGTTTAAAAACAAAATTATATCATTAACTAGTTTAAGCTAAATAAAGCCGAATCAGAAAACTTTCTTTCTAAAATAGCCTCATAAATTACAATTTTCTGAAAAATAAGGGACCATTATGATTATAAGTTATTAAATAAAAACATATTCGCATATGTCTTACAGCTTATATTAATATTTACGTTGTTGCATGATTCTCTCGTAAGTGTATTTATTTTGTTTTAAAATAATTTAAATTTTCCATCTCATTTTGTCTCTAGACCTCAAGGCCTTTTATGTAATGTATTATTCAATTGTATTATTCGGACAACATCGCTTTGATGGTCTCAAAGCTGGCTATATCCGAAACCGTTGAGCTGGATGGAGCAGGAGAATCAGATGTGGCTGGTGGGTTCGTAGTTTCTGCCTGGGGCGCGTCGGTGACCAAACTCTGTGGGTTAGAAAATAGTGAAAGACTGTCCTTAAATCGATGGACAATTAACCCCTGGGTTACCACTTGTCATAATTTGATTTTATTAAGTTATGTTTTTGCCAGATTTTATAAATCTGATTTTAAAAGGAAAAATCGTATTTACTAAACTGAAACCATTAAATTTTTAATTTTAAAACCATAACAAAGCAACCAAAAATTGTTTATACATGAGATTTAAAATAGTAAAAAATCGTTTGCGCTGCTCCCTGAAGTTAAGTCTTTTAAAAAGATTTTCTCGCAACCGGAAATTCTTTCAACCGATGTTAAAAGCATTACTAAATAACACAAGCTATAAACTTTCTGGCTTTTCAACAGTTGAACAAAAATGCATTTATAATTTCTATAACACTTAAGGCAATTCCTCGAATTTATTCAACAATGTAAGTTTATTTAAGCTCTACGGTTGAACAAAAGTTTATAGTTTACCAATTTATCATACCCATTTATATATTATATTATTGAGGTTCCTACAATATGACTATCAAATAAATTATTGACCATTTAAAATAAAATAGTAAGAAAATAATAGTAATAAAAGAGTTTTCCTGGACTTACCTTGGACTGTCCCTCCTTGAAGGCCTCGGCCAGTCCGGAATGGATTTCACTTAGTGGCTCATCGCCATGTCGTATATAGACGGGAACATGACCTTTGCGGGGCTCCAACTCCTGGTAGGGGGCCGCTGGGGAGATTTTAATTACACGCCATTAAATTATGTAGCCGTTGCTGTTTGCTGTTTCCCTATCAGCTGGTTAATCTCGACCGCCTTGGCTATGACATACACCACCCGGAAGCCTTGAATCACGACAAAGCGTAATTATGACTAACGAGCCGAGAGCCAAAGCCCCAAAAGATCCCCTGCGAAACTACGCCTCTGATTTGCGGTTCTGGCGCTCGAAAACCTGTTTCGGCTCTCATCCCAAAACAATAGCCGTGAATATTTCAAGCAGATGTGCCATAAATATGAATTGCTTAAGGCTCGTTCAAAATAAATCATTTTTTAGCCCGAATACTTACCCTCGGTGAATGTGAAAATTCCGAGTACTAGGAATACTAGAAGACCTAGCAAGATGCTATTTCCCAGGCAGGCAGATGTCTTGACCATGGCTATGGCTGTTTAATTGTGAATTTCTCGCGATTTTATTTCGGACTGCGATCTGCGATCGTCGCGACTCCAGACTCGAGACTCAGGCTAGATCGGCCGGCAGCCAAGCTTAAATCCGACTCGACTCCAGCAAACTTTTGCCGGGCCAATTACTCATGGGTAGCAGCATCACAGCACGCAGAAAAAAAAAGACTAACATGGGGTTTACAGCACAATCTTACTTAAATAATTCTACAAATAAATTATTTAAGATTTTTTTTTTACTTTAGAAGGTACATTGCTTACTATAAAGGTAATATTGGTTTTATTTAGAGTACTTGTCTTTGATTAAAATCATGCTTAATATGCGTGTATAAATACTTTATAGAAGAATTGTACGATTTTAAAGACTCTGTTGGCTAATCTAAACTTTCTAATGCCCATTTTTCGTAATTTTGGTCAACTTAAAGTAGGTTTTAAACTAAAAACGGTATTAAATTTACTTATCTAATTTATCTACTTTATTTTTGTCATACGAGAAATGTTTTTGCTTATTTGATTTTAATTAAAATACATTGTCTTAACAAACTAAAGACAATTTTAAGGCTTACTGCGTAATACAAATCGTAGCAACCTCATTCATACACCCTTTTTCTTTTCAGTGCATTGGCAACAGCAGCGGAATGATGATGGCTCCGATGATGGCTGGTAATGAAGCTGTCGGCGAACTTTTCAAGCTGTGGTGGGGCATATAAAAAGCTTTGGGTTCTGCGGCAATTGGTGGAGTTTGGTGTTGAGGGGTGGGTGGGTTTTGAAAAGCGGCAACGGGGGATGGGTTCTAACCTAGCATTTAGTGGCCTGTGGCGTTCCACTCTTACCACTCCTCCACACTGTGCTCTGTTCTGTTCCTCAAATTCAAACGTTATTCTTTTTTTTCAACTTGTTTCAAATTAATTGGGTCGTTAGAGAAGCCATTTGCGCGAAGAGGTTCGAGGTTCGTCTTTTTTGCGCCCTGTGCCTGTTATTTTTTGCTCCACACTCTCCTTTGAATTGTTTGCCCACTTTCGTTTTTGTTGAGTATTCAAATCGAGAAATTGCTGACATCTGTGGATGAAATGCCGCGGGTGGATGGCTGGATGGCTGGATGGATGGATGGATGGATGGCTGGGTAGATTGCTTGTACTGCACCGGCGGAAATCGGAATACAAGTACTCGTATCTGCCTGCGATTACGCCATTGAATGCAAGTGAAGGACTGGGAGGTGGCCTCCTGAACTTGTGTGTGTTTGCCCGCCTCGATTGTTCCGCGTCCTTGATACAATTCCATTTTGATTTCGGCATTTCACATCGTGTACCCTCCGATTGCGAATCAAATTGTTGGGCAAATATTCAACAGAGTAAATATGTTTATGCCGAATCAAGCAATTTCATTTAAACACACTCCACATGACGAGGCACTTGTCTGCTCTGTGTGTCCTATATGCCAGCGCCCCTCCAGATTCCGATATAATGCTCAAGTACAGCATTGTACTATATTGTGCTATATGTGCACCCAAATGTTTGTTGACGAAGCTAGCCGTGCAGCTCCACCAATTGAATTGAATCAGCGATGCATAGTTTATTAGTTGCAGTGTAATTCGCCCATAAAACAAGGCAACTACTAGTCCCACCTTCAACATGCCCTCAACTTTTAGGGCGAAATGTTTGTGGATAGCCAGGCACTTTTAATGCGTGTTTTCTATGGTCCATTAAATTAACATTAAGTGAAGTTCGATGGTTTAATGGGGTAGCATTAATTTAAGGTTAGGTCATCTTATATTTATATTTATATTATATTTATATTTAGAGACTTTTTTGTTTTTAAATAGTTATATTTCTATTTCTATTCCTATGTATATTTATATATTTAATTGTTATTCTGTATATAAATAGAATGTATACTATGATAAATAACTAAATTAAATTTTATAGGTCTTTGTCATGACCTAAAATAAAGCCAATAAAATATTACAATTTTATTTTTCAGTATTTACAATTTTAGTGTATAATAAAGAACTTTTAGGATTAGGCACTACTTCTAAAAGAATATTAAGAATTACTTAAATGTAAACTATATTTTCACATTATACTTACTTTAAAACCACATTCCAATGAAAACAGCTTCTCAGCAATTTTTGTTTTCTCTGTCGTTTATTTAATATTTTTATGTATTTTATGTATGTTTATTTCCGAGGCTCTAAAAATAGTTACATGGCTGCACTAGTGTGTGGGTGTAGCTTTAATAACTATGATTCTAATTTATATTCCTTCGTCTCAATCGTGGCATGCGTTTTTTTTTTGGATCTTGTTATGGTTTGGTTTTACTTTGTTTGTTTCATTTTTTGTTTGTTGTCACGTATTTCCATAATGAATTCTTCTGTGATTCCTCTCGATTCGATTCTATTCGCTTCGCTTTCTCCGGTTACTCGCGTGTATATTAATTTAAGAATGGATTAGCTTTCTTTGGGATATAATAGGTTATATGCTCTACATATTTGCCATAAAATCGCACGGTTATGCATGTGGGTATGTCTGTAGAATGTCGGTTAGTGTCTAATAGAGCGTGTGTGTGCGGGGGTTACGGGGTTATTAGATTAGTATAGCTGCTGTTCATCTAGGTGTTCTTGTTTTTGCTGTTGTTGCTGTTTTGTGTGTGTGTCACATTCTTTAAAGTCGATTATTTAACTCCTACGAAAGCTGAAACTAGTTGAACATTCTCTAACTAAAAGTAGAACAAGAACAAATGCTAAGTATCAAAAGGAAAAATCTGTGAAATCACCTACGGGCAGCGCCTTAAAATCGCTGCCTGCCATCCAGGAAGTGGGCGTGGCATTGTATTGCATACTTAGTAGTATTAATTATATATCTTTTTAGCTATATATTCCTGGTCATTGAGTATATACTTGAATTGATCTTGAGTTATGTACTTGAGGGATTCCTATTCGTCTTGCATTGGAAAAATTGAGATTCGGTTTATGATGTATATGTTTACGGTTCGCTGTAAGCATTTATATAAATAAGTTAAATATGTTTACTTATATACGTGGTTGCATATATATGCCGGTATGTATGTATATAATTTTTTTGATGAAGTATACAATATATTGCAATTTTAAATGTATATAACTGTTCAAGTCTTTTTGCATCTCTAATATATGAATATATAAATTAATATCTTTACGTTATTAATCGTTCATTTTATAAAATATCTCACCATGTTCGATTTCTGCCGCCCTTTCATTTATTGTATAATAATAAAGATTGAATTGGTGTCATTGAACTTGAAATTATTGGTGTCGGTGTTTAACAGCTCGAGTTCTCGATTTCCCTTTCTTATTAAAGTTCAAGTCTGATAAAAGTACGTCGTGAATCAAAGAAGGAAGCATTTATTTATTTTTTTTTTTTCAATATTTATTTTTTCAATATTTTAAAAATTAAATAAAAAAGTGAAATCGGGAGCACAGCTGCACGTCTGTTTTAAAAGTGTTTCAGTGGGGCTCTAATTAATTTTTGCAGGTGTGGCTTGGGGTTTTACGATTTTGGGATTCAATTTGCCGCGTGTATAAAACAAGGTTTCTGTGTAAAAATATTTTTTGCTTCGCCTCTACTTAATCCATCCACGTTCTGCTTATTTTTACTTTTTTGTCATTTTGTTTGTTTCTCGATTTTTTTTTGTGGTGTATAATGTGTATAAATAAATCTTACTCATAAATAAATCAATTAAACGCTCGCCTCAATATATAATCTATTTATATTCGTAATTATTTCATATATATTTTGAATGTAAAATTGCAAATCACATAATTGTTACCACTACTGTTCAATGGAATTTCTTATATACGTTTTTTTTCAGATTTTCTTCGGTTTTTTGTTTGTTTTTTTTTTTTTTTAGTTTGCTTATGTGTATATAGGCATTTAATGCTATTTAAAACGCTATCAATAATCATCAATAAAGCCATGCATAAACACGATTTCGAACTATGGCCCTATAAACAATGCGCATAGCACTCTCTGGTCTAAATTCTAAATCTGCCCCGATATTCTGCTTTTTTTCAGCTTTTTCAGAATTTTCTGCTTTTTTACTTGCGACATGCGGCGCTACTTGGTTATCTACATGGCGCGCACGTATGTAGAGTACGATGTAATAATCTGCATTGTTGCTATAAAATTGTGGGCGTATGTGTGAGTGTGTGTGTGGAGGGGGCGGGGTTTATAATTAATGGTTTCTTGCTCGTTGTATAATTAAGTTCGAATGGTTTTCAATATTTTGTTGTTACTTTGCATTTACTATTATTAATTTCGATATAAAACTGCCTCTTTTAAATATATTTATTTATTTTGTAATATATTCATGTGTATATATATGCTTTAAAAAATAACCTCTATCGCCGTTCGCCTCGTTCATTTCAATTTCTAAATTATGAAATAATTGTAATTGACAATTTAATTAAATTGTTTTCAAGTTTACTCTTTCGGTTTTTTGTTTGCCATTTTTGGTTATGGTTTCGGAATAAAAACTACGCGTAAAATAAATACATGTTTTGTGTATATATCAATAGTTCTCGATTTTTGGTTTTAAATAGAATTACAAGTTTTTGTATTTTTTGGTTTTTTTTTGTTCGTTAAAAACTATGTCACTTAACTTTGGAATTGCTTTTAGTTATCATTTGTTTTACAAGTGCGTCTTCTACGTCTATCATCATCGTTTCGTCAACTTATTTCGACTTCCCAGAACTTCAAGGATACTCGCATCTACATGCGAGCATATCCTTTCTTGGAGTATATCCTTTTTGTTTTTGGAAACCTTTGGCTGGGCCAAAGCTCGAGGGGTCGCGGGTACGGGGGTAGTTTCTTGTATAAAATTGTTTTTAAACTTGCAATTATGTATATGTATGTACACGAATCATCATGGGGTTCTAATGCTAGTAATAAAATAACTATTTCGTAAGTACTTTGTTGCTTGTGTATGAGAATTGGGGTCTTAATTGGGTCGCTTCTTCCATCATCCACACACTTTCCTTCCATACTTTGAATGTATTTATTTATGTTAAGTATTGTCCTTGTGATATGTTTCTAAATTGTTTTCTCATTAATTTTAATCATTTCTAAGTAATTGAAGTAGTTTTCTGTTTATCGAGTTAGAGCATAATATGGAAGTAATCTCATCTTAAACTTGGTTAGAGTGTAAAGTTGCCGCAGCGGTTAAAATGGTTCAGCCCTCATCGATCGTCACTATATATGTATATCCGGTTTCCGATTGCTAAACTTGATCATTGAGTTATTGGTTAAAAAGAGTCTAAGAGCGAGAGAAAGTGAGATATATAGGGAGTTGCGGGAAGTGCTATAAGTTCACTAATTGATTAGTTTGCTAAGACTTGAACTGAGCTCCGACTCGGACTAAATATCTAGGTGAGTGGGGGTTAGTGGTGAGTGTGTTGCTGGGGGTGTATATAAACTCTAGAGCCCTAAAACGATGCCTAAAAGTAGATATTTACCAAAAAACATGCAAATTGGTTCTGCTCGCTAGGTATTAATCATTTAGTTCATATGTATACATATAATTTGCCATTCCCTTCATATTTCTTCTTTTTCGCTCCTCCTCCTCATCCTTCTTCTGTATATAATGCTTATTTGATCTGTGTATATATAGAATTTCTACTTATGTTCCATAATATTCGTTGTGTCAGATTTTTACTATAAGTTACGTTTTGGATTTCCTTCTCAAACCTTTTGTTTTTTGCTTTGTTTCTTTTGCCTCCCACAATCTACGTTCCGTAAAAGTTGCAACTTGGAGAGATTTTTTGGGGAAAGTTCAGAGAGATTATAAGTGAGTAGATATATAAGTGTGTGTATATAACTGCTTGAAGAAGATTCTATTGAGTTGAGATCCAGTTTTCATCATCATCATCTTGCCTTCTGTTTAACGTACTACTCCGCTAGTATAAGCCGAATTCTAGACTAGATTTTGTTTGTTTTTAATTCTTATTTAGTTTTTTTTTTTTGTTTTTAGTATTAATTTGATAAGGGTGCTCGAGTATTGCTTATAGGGTTCTGGTGTAAAGTATCATAGTTGCGGGCAGGAGATGGTTGCTTGTCCGAGTTCCTAGGCCACCACAATGTCTTGGCTGTTCTCATCGCTGTCCAGTAGATCGTCGCCCTCCAGATCATCCTCATCCTCGCCCAAGCCCTTGCCCTGATCAATGGCCCCTGTGTCCCGCAGACAGGCCGATTCCAGATGCTTGTTGAGGTACGATTTGAGGGCAAAGGTCTTGTTGCAGCGATGGCACTTGAAGTTCTTGTCCCCCGAATGGGTTTGCATGTGAGCCCGCAGATTGGAGCGATCGGCGAAGGCTTTGCCGCAATGCACACAGGCATAGGGCTTCTCGCCGGTGTGGGATCGCAGGTGACCTTGGAGCAGCCAAGGCCGCGAGAAGAGTTTACCGCAAATGTCGCAGCTGTGCGAAAGCTTGTGCGTGAGCAAGTGCATGGCCAGGGCGGGCATGGACACATAGGCCTTGCCACAGGTATTGCACTTCTTGGCCGACTGCGAGTCCAGGGAGCGGTGCGTCTGCTTGTGGCGTGAGAGATTCGAGGAGGTGGCATACTGCTTGCCACACTCGCAGCACTTGTAGCAGCCCCTCTTCCGCTTGGCATAGTTCTCCCCACTGCCCGAGGAGCCAGTGGCTGTTGGTGCCTCAGGGGGTTCCGATGCCACCGTATTACCGCCCGAGGAGGAGGCATTGCTCTGGGCACTCTTGGGCCGCGGCTGCTGCACCAGTTTGTCCTCCTGTTTGTCCCTCTCCTGCTTGCCCACATTGGCCGCCCGGCTCGCCTTGGTCCGGCCATCCAGCATGTTGAGGCACATCTTGAGGGCCGAGGCCCGTTGCTGATTCTGCGGCTTGCCCCACTGCTGCAGGCCCGATTCGGAGGAGGAAGACATGTCTATGTCCACGTCGGAGCTGTGGTCCGAGTTCGGCGGCGTCAGGGGCGAGCAGTTGTTGGCCGCCTCCGAGGAGCCGTTCATCAGGTCGTAGGAGCTGCTGCCTATGAACCGGATGGTCGACTGGGGCGATCGGCTGGAAGCGCTGTTCGATATCTCGTGGATTTCCGGGGAGCGGAGCTGCTGCTCCTGTTCCTGCTTCATGATGGTCACCACGCAGGGCGGGATCAGGGGCGGCAGGCTCTGCGAGAGGGAGAGCAAATCGTGGGCCGCTTCCGTTTCCTCGACACTGCGACCGCGGTAAATCGAGGCGGCCACTTGTTGCTCTGTCCTCACTCTGTCCCGCTCCCTATCCTGCTCTCTCTCCCTCTCCCTCTCACGCTCCCTGTCCCGCTCCCGCTTCAAGGTCACCGGCTCCGGCTGGCGGGGCGATCCACTGGCGCTGGCGGGCGGGGCGTAGAAAATCACCTTGCCATCCTCCGCCGGAGCTCTTCCCACTGGACGGCGCAGCGATACTGTTTTTGTGAGATAGATACTAAGGTTTATTACCCGAAAAATAGCCGCAAACTCATACAAAAACTAACAGTCGAGGGGCATCGATTCATCATTATCCGTAAAGTTCATCTTTCACGACACAAGCTCAGGAAATCAAAAATAAACTTAACCTCCAAACGTCATAAATGTCAAAGACACTTGTTGATTTATCAGACTGACCATTTACAGGATTGTCATTATTGACCAGGGATCAGCATGCCGACCAGGGCTGCCTCATCAACTGTGAGCTTCGACATTTCGAAACGGTGGAATGGAATCAGCTTAGAATTACCAAAGATTTGCAATCCAGGGGCATGGAAGTTAATCTTTAACATCACAAGCAGATCAAAATAAAAAATAAATTGTCTCTAATCAAATTAAATAATTGTCAAAACGACTTGTTGATTTTACAGGCTGACCAGTTACAGATTTTCCTAATAAACTGTGAGCTTCGACATTTGGAAACGACGGAAAGGAATCAGCTTAAAATCAATTTGATTAAATAGGGTTGATTGATTTTAATACCAATAAATTGGTTAGGACTCGATTGAAAAAGGTAAAAAGTACCTAAAAACACCAAAGTAACCTTTGTGGATTATGCAAAAATAAGAAAACAAAAAATATAAAACTAAGTACATATATTTATTGAGCCAAAAGAATTTGAAACCAATTTTTGGTTTACAAAAGCAGGATTAATACATTTTATGTTTGGTCTTAATCAACTTAAGGAAACAATATTAAACAATAAAGCACAAGAAATAAAGTAATAAAATAATAAAATGTATTCAATTAAAAGTCATTAGCGTAAGCATCATATTTATTATTAAAAGTATAAAAACCATGCATACAGTAAACAAGACATACATTTATAAAACTTGGTTAGAAGACTTATGTAAAATTAAAGAACAATAATAACTAAAGTACTTAAAACTATGCGTACATAAGAAATAGAATGTGTTATTTTTAGTCCGGTAAATAAAATACATAGGTACTTGCTAAACACCCCTGATTTTAATTGGTGCCTGTATCTTACTTTATATTCCTCTGCCCTCTTTCTGTTTGTTAAGTTCCCACCTGTAGACCTCAAAGGTTGAAACCTGAAACCTTTAGCTCCTTCAGACTGTCTTCATTAAAACTGAGTATTTTTTGTGTGCCCTCTTGCAAGCTCGTTCTAATGTAAATATGTATGTTCTTAGGGTGCGTGTGCCGATTGCAAGTCATATTCCACAAAGGACTACCAAAAGGAATCATAAAGGCAGAGAAAGCAGTAACCATAAATGCACATTTTGGCATTTTATGGGACTGAAGCTGGGGCTGACGCATTGTGTCCCTTCTCCACTGCGGCTGACCTGTTACGTTCCGAGTTCCTCAATCGATATGACGACCTCCTAAGCCAAACCAAGCCTCCCTACCACCCAAGCCACCCCCTGCCAACGGCAGTCAATGCCGCTTGTTTGCATTTGCTTCTTCTTCAGCTTTTCCACCCGATTTTCCCCAGCACTTTCCCATGCTTTTCCCTTCATTCAAGAGCAACAAGCAACGACATCGACAAGAAGGCAAGCGCAAACATGGAAAATGCCAACATACGCTAAAAAGATTAGCTAACGGCGACAATGTCAAACACGAGCGCTCACAGTGGAGTGTTCCAAATGGAGAAGGGAAATGCGAAATGTGAAATGGAGAACGGGGGCTGTGTGTGGGGTCACCAGTGGTGACCCCCCAGCGCGGTTGAAGGACGCTGGCCAAGTGGGTGGCCATAAAATGGTTGGAAGTGCCGCTGGCTTTCGATGACGGAGTGGAGTGGAGTGGGATCATCGGAACCAGGCTACTAAAAATAAATACACCAACCAGCCAGTCCAGCACACACAAATTGTCGCAGCCACCTGTTCACATTGTTGTGACGCAACTTTTACGGGGGGTGCAGGTGGGGTGGATTCCGGGGGGCTACGAAGTGGTTGGCAGGTCTCACAAATGGAACAATAGCTACACAGAGAAGAAAACAGCTTTTGCAACTCAAGAAAATGTAAAGAAAAGACAAATTTAGAACGTAGATGTAGTGTTGAAGAAATTAAAGCATCCAAGAAATATTTTTCAACACAAAAGTATTTCTTACCATGTCTAAACAAAAAACAGTTATTTAGAATGTCAAATTAGTCAGTTAAATACAAAAAGCTTTACTTGAAATTAAGACAAAAATTAAAAAAAGTAGATTCATAATTAAAGATACTAAAGTTTCCAATGAAATATTTTATAATACAATAGGATTTCTCATAATGTCCAAGTTAATTAAAATATTTTAAAATATATCTAATGGAAATATATCTAAATTAAAAACTGTTTTTAAAACTCTCAAGACCAGGAAAACTACCTTTCAAAACAAACAAATAAATCATTAAAAACACTTCATAAATAATAATATTTAAACTTAAATAAAAGAGAAAGGGACTTAAGCTTTTTGATCTTTTCCCATTGTGGATATTAAAAGGTTTGGGAAGCTAAAAAAAACAGAATTGCTTTTTAAATATCGTATAAGATTTGCCTTCCTTAAATCAAATTAGATACTTTAAAATGTTTATATTAAACAAAAAATCTCAAATATATTTGAAATCAAATATTTCCCCCAAATCAGCTTTGGAGAATGTATAAAAAAAACTTACCTGAGGTGGAAATTGGCGCTGCCACAGTTGCAGGAGAAGCCGTAGTTCCCGCTCGCCGCTGCTTTTCTTGTTTGGAGGAGTTCATCTGGACCAGGGACTGGGCGGCCGACCACTCCAGATGCTCGCATAGCTGATCCTCTTGCTCCTCGCCCTCCTCTTCGTCCAGATCGATGATTTCCCGTCTAAGAACCGAGCGTGAGGATCTCTTGGCCAGCGATTTGAGTGGTGATTTTCCGCCACCATTTGCCAGGCCATTTCCATTGGCATTTCTTAGCACCGAACTGGCAGCAGTCACTGGGCTGGACTTCTCCTCCAGCTTCAGTTTTCCCGAGGTCCTGGGCTTTGGGCGTCGCCAGCTCTGCAAGTCAGCTCCTGATCCCGATCCCGATCCTGATCCTGCTGCTGTCGAACCCAATGCCAAATGGGATCCAGCCACATATTTCTTGCTGGCACTTGCATAGGCAATCGTTTGGATCTTGTTGCGATTGGGCAGTATAAAGTCCACGGACATTTTGCAGCCTGCAAAACGGGTCACCGTATCCGGAACCGTATGCCTTCCTTTGCCAGTTCGAAAATCCGGGGATTCCCCGTCCACTTGTTCGCTCACTGTTTATTTTGGTCTAGGTTTTGGTTTTCGTTTTGGGGTTTGGGTTTTTCGGGCCGTGGGTGTGTGGTTTTTGGGGTTTCTTACGCTTAAATTTGTTTTGTATTTACTATGTAGATGTAGCACAACCTTCTTTGTCATCTGCAGTTTAAAATGCTTTTGCTTTTATAGCTATATAGCAGTAGCTGTCCGTCCTTTTGGCCCTCTTCTACTTCAACTTTGACATTGACATGAGTTGCCTTGAGAGTATATTGCTGCGGTTGCTCCTTCAGCTTTGATTCAAAGTCCTCGAAGTCCCCGAAGTTGCGGATGTTGCAATTTTGTGCCCTTTGGCTCGCCGGCTGCCTGGCATCCTCCTGCCCCCTTCAAGAAATCCCTTTTAGATCCACATCCGCTTGGCAGCTTGTTTCATATAACTCATAAGCCCGGCTATCTCCGCAATTGAAGGTATTTGGCGTTCGTTGTTGCGTTGCCCTTCCTGTTCTGCAAGTAATGGAAATACAGGTACATTAAATTCCACTTATTTACCTTACCGGTAAGACTGTGCACAAAGACTCTGTCACATTTACATGCAAATAATAGTTGTTTGGCTTTTAAGGGACAAAGACAATGGTGGGTCTTCGAAACATGCTGCTTATTAAAATGAATGTTCGCTGGTGGAAGCGTTATTTAATGCTTTACTCATACTATAAAAAAATGTATTCAAAAATATACAAGATAAAGTATATATAAAGCAGCAAAAATTTAAAAATAAAAATTATTGCTGTGGTTCAAGTTAAAGGAGCTATAGTTTTAAAAACAACACTTTACTCAAGTATTTTAAATTAAAATTAATATTATTAATACATATTTACTGACATAAATATTTATTTGCTATAAATTTTTGCAAATGCACAAAATAGCAATAGCGAAAAAAAGCAAGTAGAAATAATTCTAAATACAAATTGTGAGTCAAGTTTAAAAGCTCTAGTTTCTAAAAACAGCAGAACAAAGTATTTAGTATTTGGAAAAATATAAATTTAGATAAATTCAATTTGGTGGGATACAACCGTTATTTCATTCAAAGAAAATGTATTCTAATCAATCAATGTTTTAAATTGTAAATTTGAAAGAATCGTATATGACAGTCTTAAATGTTCGCTTTTTTATAAACTTGAACTCCTTAGTTTTCTGAACCCATAAAAAGCAAGAAATCGTTTCTGGAACTCCCTTAGCAATTCCTGATAGCCCATTAGACTACCTTGCCGTATCGCTACCCCATAAATCGCAGGTAAATACTCTATGGCAACCATTAACTGCACACTCCACCACTTTCCAAACGCCTTGCACTCGAAAAAAGAAAGCAGACAACTAAATTGCATAATTTAAACGGCGATTAAAGTGCGAAAATTGTAAACAAGTTCCTGCAGTTGGCTGGTAGTCATAATATTTACATTATAAATGCAGAAACCGCTGTGCAATCAACAGAGGGGAGCACACTTTTCCGACGAGGGGGTGGTGGTTGATTTTGCCAAGAGGGTTGGGGAAAATTTGCAACACTTGATTACACTTAATTGATAAATTGTTATACTTTTTGCACTAAATTGCATGGTTTGTACATGGACTGGCAGTTCATTTTCTGTGGGAAACGGTGGAGGGAGCGGTGGGAGGGGTAGGTTCTGGGCGGAAAAGCTTCCATTGGAAGGTGGCGCACACGCACGCACACCGAAACTATCTATCCCTATCCCACGTTTAAAAATGGCGCATACACTCGCTGCCATTGTTTAGGAAATGCACTAACCGAGGTTCTACAGAACTCAATGGGTATTATCCCACGCATATAATCCTTGCAAATGCTTGCATGTATTTGGTTTAGTCGTATCACATGTTGAATATATTATTAGGTAATGGTTTATGCTTGCGGTTTTTGGAAAATCCTATAAATTTTCCTCTTTTTTTCCGCTCGTTGTTTTTAGCAACAACAACTTGTTCACTCTGCACTTGTCGAATGTTTTGTGAATCGAAATTGAACGGTGAAACTCTCAGAGAGAGGTTTTTTTGTGAGGAGAGAGAGAACTGGAGAAAGAAAGATAATACGGCGCACTCGTTGGAGCTTGCGAACTCGTTACTAGAAATCCTAATAGCGAGTACATGCAACAAATAGTCAACTGTTGGTTGCCTTAGCCTACCTCACTGTACCACCCCCTTTCACCTCCTTCTTGCTTTCTCTCTCTCTCTCTCTTTTCGAACTCTCTCGGTTTCTCTTTCTCCTGCTGCACATAAACAATGCGAGATTTTTATTGCATACTTTGCAGCTGCAGCGACTTATACACACACATACAAAGAATCTATATGCAATATATCACATTGTCACATGCAACACTAAAATCAAATCATGCATAAATTGGTTTTGTAATTTAAGTTGAGTTTCCTGTTTAGTTTTAGCTCTACGAACAAAACAGGCATACATCTATAGCGGTTATATGATATGATATAGTGGGAAACTCTCGTACTCGCTCTGATTTGTGGCTTGTTTTTTTCACACACGCACTGACAGTTTGCTCTTTTCGTTTTCGTATTATAGTTATAGATTTTCCTTCATTTTTTTTGCTGTTTTGCACTTGGTCACGTAAGTTTCTGGACTTTTGTTTTATGTATTTTACAGTTTATATTATTGTGGTGCGGTATTGTGCTTGGCTATATTAAACTATGGACTTGTTTGGCCTGCCGCTGTGCGTCAGTTTTTGACGTACCACTCCCTTCTACTGTGCGCTTGGCATTCGCAGCTTTTCGCTGGCTCTGCCGCTCAGTTTGCCATACAGCATATACATATATATATAGAAATCTATATATATGTGTGTGATTTACAGCGAGTGTGCGTGATTTCGGGTCAACACCAACGCACACCACTAAAAGAGGGTGTTATTTTCGGTGGCCAGGGGGTGGGTTTGTGGCCTAGTGGTAAAGTTTTTACGGTTTGGTAGGCCCTTCCCATAATCCCCGGCAAAAGATCCTAAAGCTTGGGCCATATTTCCATGATTTATTGGCTAGCCATTAATATAATATATAGATCCCACACAAAGACACAACAAGTAGCCAGCAACACCAAACCCTAGCCGCCCAAACAAAAAACACCCAAAAACATGCAACAACCCCAAGAGAGTATATGCAAAGCGACTGCGCAGTTTCTCCATATTTTTGTGATATTTCTCGCAAACTACAAGCAACGAGTCACAAATACTATCGCAAAAGAACATATCCTGGCAGGAACTCGTGCCACACACACTTGTGGATTGCCGAAAATTATGCAACAGCACCGCATTTGGAATCGAGAGAGGGTGGTGAGGGGTTGAGCCACAGGGGGCCGCAAAACCGGGAACAAGTACCTTCCATAGAAACCCGAAAAGCCGGGGGTGTGTTTTGATGTCTGCCACTTGGCTGCCAAAAAAAAAAAAAAAAAAAAAAAAAACCCCAATCCCAAACCAAACCAAAAACCTGGAAGTCCGAAATTCTAAGGGGTTTCAGCATAGAAATAAATTATAAGCTGTTCCAGCTGTAAGCGTTTAATTTGGTATTGTTTTCATTCTTCGGTTGGCTTTTTTTTCTATCTTTTCCTTTCGGTTAGGTTAGCTAGACCAAATATTTAGCATAGTTGACAACTGAAACTTTCCGTTGCTGTAGCTGTTGTCCTTTTAACGTTCTGAGGTTTTTGGGTTTATTTCGTTACGTTTCGTTTGGTTTGCTTTCATTTGGCTTGGCTTGGTTTGGTTTGGTTTGTTTGCACAGGCCGAGATGCGAGACCGAATCGAAAGGGGGCCAAAGGACACACACAGAACGGCCGCAAGGACTCCATGGCCCGTGGCCCATTATTGCCTCCTCGTCGGTTGGTTGGTAGTTCCCCCCGTTTCTCCATTTCCCCAGTTCCCTCCACCCGAATCCAATAGAGTCCCCTGTGGTTGCTTTTTTTTCTGTGGCATTGCTGCTGCGTTGACATCAGCGCTTCCGCTGCGGGCTTCCTTATTATTCCTGTCACTAAGCCGCCCTTTAAATTCGCAATGAATGCCAAACAGCGAAACAGTTAAATGTTTTTTTTTTTCGGGGTCCCGCTGTTGTTCGAGCCACGGAAGTGCAACACCAGCCAACCAAGTTGGCCAACAGACCAACAGACCAACCCAGAGCAGACCGGAACAGGATGCACTCAGAGAAAATAATGCCATCGTTTTTATGAATTCTATTTAATTACTAAAAATTTTGTATACCGCTTCTGGTTTATCAATGTAATACAATATGTAATAGAAGTAGTCTTACTCAATTTTTTAAAAAAAATAACATTTAAAAAAATATTTTCTTAT